GAGTAGATATCTATTCGATAACTTATGGAACCAATAAGCTTTAAACAGACGTTGAGAAACCCAACAGACGTGATTTTGGTAGTTTATGAGACTCAAGCTTATGTAACCGATATGTTGGAGTTCGCAAACCGGGCATTAGTGAGCTGGAGCCGACTTTACCCGAAGGAGCGTTACATAGCCGAGCGTGAGGGCTCAGTTTCATTCAACTGCCACAAAAAAGTGCTAAAGAAGTTTTGGGGAACCTACCTTGGATCTCAGAATGGGCCGATCCCTCTTGTACCTCAGACACTTCTGCCTCTTGAAAGCGGAAGAAACGACAGGAGGTGCGTAGAGGGATTGTCGGGCTGCTCTACAATCCGGCTCCTGGCAGCAGTAGTACGAGCTGCCGCCGCTGTGTTGAGTGCTGGAGCCACTGTCGCGTCGGGCGTCTTGTGAGCAAAACTGCAATCCAGATCATAGTCAGTTACCAACATCACCAACCTCATGGCTTGGATGTGTTCCTTAGAATCCAGCATGGGCCCTTAGCAATGTTTTCCCAATTTTACATTACATACAAGGAAATTATAAGCAATCCAAATTTAAATTTATATTAAGTGCGCCAAAACGACGCGCCACCGCTTGGTGGACGGCTGACGTCACCAAGAGCCACTTTGATATCGGCTTGCATTTAGTTCGCCTGCTGCCGCCGTTTACTTTTTTGGTCAAACCAACTTTAATAGGTTATTTGAAGAAAATGGCTCGTAAATATTGTATTACACCAACATCGAAAATGCCGATTTCCTATTAGTTATGGAGGAATGCCCCTGTAACTTAGCAGAAGCTTTAAGAACGCTAAGAAAAAGAACGCCAACTAGAAGATTGGCTCCAGGAAGATAGTGAACGACAATAGATGTTCGGATTAACAGAGCAACAAGTATTGAAGATAATTGGATCAGACACCTTTGCTGTTGCATCCATAGCAGACTTGTTGGAGTACAGGGTTTGGTAGAATTTCTCCAATATTCGTAGTTGTTCTTCCCTGTCCCAATAAACATATTGTTTTGCCAGTTTCAGTTTGAGAATCTCGGTTTTTTCATTTGAAAATTGGCTCCTCATTACCTTCATTCTTTTATTTTCTTCAATTGTCTGTAGTCTGTAGAAACTCGAATAATTCGAGTATTCGAGTACTCAAATATTCGAAAAGCGAATGTCTAGTCATAACTCGAATATTCGAATAATCGAATACTCGAATACTCGAATACACCAACATTATCAAATTCACAAGGTGCAAATATCTTTATATGCACTTTGTATACTTTTATAAAATAAATTATTCATATTCTACAAGCACTTAAACAAATACCCACATATTTACAAGCAAATGAGAATAATCATATTTACTTTCCTGCAAATGAATATAAAATTGCGTCTCTGTGTTCTGGCGATTCGCGTCATCAACTTTTGCGCGGTGTTACAATTAATGTGCCGGCAAAGGGTCGACACTTTTTAAAGTTAGCTCCTGAAATCGTTTCTAAAATGGCTGTCAAAGGGAAAAAATGTAACCCCCTCCATTGCCGTTAGTTGGCAAAAATGATATGAGATAACGATTTTTTTTCTTGGAAAACGGTTAACGAAAAACGAATTCTCGAATATTCAAATATTCGAGTATTCGAATAATTTTGCTATTCGAATAAACCACTAAACGAGTATTCAAATTTCAGATTTTTGAAAATTCCGAGCACTAGTCTGTCCTAATCTCGTTTTTATATCTCTCTTTATGGATTTAGAGATATCCCTATTTCTTTCCATAACAATATCCTCGCTTATATTTTTGTCGCTTCTCAGTTCTCTCCACTGATCCATTTTTGCTTTTGTCTCTGCACTGCACTGCACTGAAAATGGTGTTTTAACATCGCAAAACAGTCGAAAATTAGCTGAGTTATGAGCAAAAGAATGCGTTAACGTTTGCCAATTTGCAATCATAAAAAATTCAAAGATATTTTGCTCAAAAATACCAAGCGATAGCAGCTTTTTATGTCGTATGAAGTTTGTAACGCCTTTCCTGAGCTTCAAAATGATGCTTCAACATCGCAAAACAGTCGAAAATTAACTGAGTTATGAGCAAAAGAGTGCAGTGACAGTTAACGTTTGCCAATTTGCAATCATCGAAAATTCAAACATATTTTGATCAAAAATACCAGGCGATAGCAACTTTTTATGTCCGATGAAGTTTGTAACGCCTTACATGAGCTTCAAAATTATGTTTCAACATCGCAAAACAGTCGAAAATTAACTGCGTTATGAGTAAAAGAGTGCAGTGACAGTTAACGTTTGTCAATTTACAATAATCGAAAATTCAAAGATATTTTGCTCAAAAATACCAAGTGATAGCAACTTTTTATGTCCGATGAAGTTTGTATCGTTTTTCATGAGATTCAAAATAATGTTTCAACATCGAAAAACAGTCGAAAATTGACCGAGTTATGAGCAAAAGAGTGTAGTGAAAGGGTACTTCTGGAAATGTGACCTAAAATTCAAACTCGTTTGCCCAAAAAACAATAAAATACAAACATCAAGCAGGATTCAAAGAACACATTAGTCTAAAATGAGAAGGGTTTCGAAATTTTCCAAAAAAATACTCACTTTTAGACTTTTGAAAATAGCTGCTGTATATGGCGTTTGCATGGTTTTTCAAGGAAAACGAAATTTAAAAATTTTCGCAAATTGCTCAAACCATAAAAGTTACACAAGCATCATAAAACCGCCAAAGTTTCCAAAAAATCATTACAACACCTCAAAAAAAGCATGAACAGTCCCAGAACGTTCTTTAAATGTACTTTTAACGTCCAGATGCTGGTTTTCCAAGATTTTGCCCCAAAATACCAAGTGATAGCAACTTTTTATGTCCAATGAAGGTTTTAGCGCCTTTCATGAGAACAAGAACAACATTTTCTGATTAGAAGTTAAGTTTACCCAAAGGAAAAAAATACAAACAAGCAGGATTCAAAGAACACAGTCTGAAATGAGAAGGGTTTCTAAATTTTCCAAAAAAATACTCACTTTTAGGCTCTTTGGAAAATAGCTGCTGTATGTATATGGCGTTTGCATAGTTTTTCAAGAAAAACAAAACGTTTTCAACAAAATCTAAAAAAACCGAAAATTGCTCAAATTGTGAACATAAAACCATAAATGTTACACAAGCATCATAAAACCGCCAAACGTTTCCAAAAAACGATCACAACACCTCAAAAAAGTATGAACAGCCCCAGAACGTTCTTTTAAGGTACTTTTAACGTCCAGATGCTGATTTTCCAACGTTTAAACGCCCAAACTCAGAAAAAAGAGCAGAGTTGCTTTACAGAAAAAGATATATATGTATATA